ATAATTATTTAATAGTTTGTTTTTTTACTATTAGTTTTATTATTATTTGAGAATTAAAGCGACAGATTTTAATTTTCCACTAATAATCTGTTACAGTTCAAAAGATATAACCTTTTTTAACCTCCTTAAAATGAAGGGGTTTTCACCCAACCTAAAACTTTACATGACCATAACTTTCAAAGAATAAAAGATTATTTGATAAAAGTTAAAACCTGTCGATGAGTTTAAACTTTGTATATTGATAGCAATAAACTTTTTTTTTTCGAAATCATATATGGGTGGGGTTAGCTTTTTGGGGTAAAACTTCCCAGAACGCATCTGCATCTACTCTCCCCTTCTCCTTCTTGCTGTGTTTGAGCTGGTTAAACACAAAAACAAAAAAAATACTATCTTAAGTCTCTGTTTAATTCAATTAAGGCTTACATCCACATAAAAACCACGATTATATTTACCACGAGATTGCACTGACTTATATGCTTAAACTCACTAATATCTAACTGCGTTGTCAACATATCGTGAAACTCAGGGCTTATTATGGATTCTAGTGATCCGGCTTGTTTCTTCAGTTTTTTAAATTTTAGGACTTCTAAAAACCAATTCGAATTATAAAAGGCTTTCAAGAACAAAATAAAGCTACACAAAAATTCTTTATGTTAAGCTCTAAACATCGCATTATTATTCTAAAATTGCACTGAAAATATATTTTGCTTAAAAGAGAGTTAAACAACAACTGCAAACTTTTATAAAACTATAAAATTGAAAACTTCAAATACTTCTGAGTCTTGACTTTAGGAGATGCTGTTGACACACTTTTTTTCAATATCAATGTATTTACTGTCACTCTATTTTTTCCTTTCCTCTCGTCATTTTGTTCTTTTTCTTTTCTTAAAAGTCTTATGATTTAAAAAAACAATTTTACTGACAACAATTCTACTGACAGCAATTCCTCTGACAATAAATCCACTGACAGCACTACAGCTGTGAGCTTGAAAATAGCAGTAACAGGAATATTTTGAATATTATTGAGCAATTTATTTTTCTAATTACTAAAAAAGTTTGTTATATTTATTTTAACACTTAAATCTAATAGAATAACAAAAATCAAATCAAAAAGTTTTACATTTTATTTCAGAAACAAAACAATAATATTAAAAAAAGGTTGCAGTCATTCAAATAGCAGTCTGAAAATGGAAAAAAAAAAATTTCTAGAGTTAAGCATTAAAAAAATAATTTTTTAACATTAAAAAGTTAAAAATAAGTATAATACAATAATATTTACCTTTAGTATTTTGTTGCAAAACCATTGTTTTGAAAAACGGCTTTGCAACGCCGATACATTGAGTCAATATTGAGTCAATGTATCGACATATATATTGTCGACATATATTTGTTGGTCCATGACACCATTAATCTTATAAATAGGGCCGACACCATTATATGCAAAGCAGCCCTATACCATGACTTTGGCTCCATCATGTTTTACAGACTTAATGGTAAATTTTTTCTAAAATTCTGTTTTCACTGGACGTCTTACAGATTGTCTTGAACCTGTACCTCCATAAAGAACGATTTTCGATTCATCGGTCCATAATATGTTGTGCCACTTTTTGATGGGCCAATTCAGACGTTGATTTGCAAACTGCAAACGTTTAGCGGTATGTTTTTTTGTTAACAAAGGAACCTTTTGTGGACTGTATGCATATAAACTGTTCTCTCTTAAGCGCCTAGGAACAGTTGTGTCACTCACATGTAATTCAAGATCATTGACTTGCTTGGCCGATGAAAATGGTTTACTTTTAACATATCTTACAATTCTTCGGTCTTCTTTTGCGGTAGTCTTACCTTTTCCACCTCGTTTTTCAACTTTTGCTTTATAATTTAAGGCGTTTGAAATCATCTCTGTTGAATATCCGATAATATTTTGTATATATGAGTAAGATTTACCCTCTCTATGATGCTTCAAAATAATGTTGCGTTCTGTAGGTGTACAATGACGTCCTCAGCCCAATTTGTAAGGTTTAGAAAATGTTTTTACCATTGAGCATACATAAATAAAGAAAGTATATATTATAATTGAAGTTATACTTACTTTTCCTACAGGAAAATTACGAAAATTTCTTTAAATTTTATTAACTAACTTTAAAATCAATACAACCACTGCTATTTTCATGCATTCTCTCAATTACAATAATTTTATTAAAAATAAAGGTATTCTTGGATGTATTGAATTCTCATATGCTCAATTTACTTATTTCATTATTGAGATAAGTAAATTGAGCATAATATAATACTAGGGGTGTACCGGATCGGAAGCTTTGAATTCCGGCCGGAACCAGATTTGCCGGAATTGTTAAGAAAACTCCGGCCGGAACGAGAATTATGCTTAGGGATCGTCCATAAGGTACGTACGCTCAGGGGGTAGACAAATGGTGTTTATGAGATGGAGGGCTGGAATAATTATAAAAGTATTTGTCATTTCGAATTCCGAATTGACATAGTCTGTGTCATTTCGAATTCCGGCCGGAATTTAAAATTTTCAGGATGGAACGCCGGAATTTATTTTAACCTTTATTTTATAATGACACAGAATGTATAAATTAAATCAAAAAATCATTGTCCTACAGGCCAATGAAGAACTATAGGTAAACCTAGGCAAAAAATACAAAGTTCTTAACAAACACTATGTAATTTTATTTGCAGTAATCAATTATGTAAGAATTTTTAGAAGTTTAGGATTTTTGTAGTGCAAAAAGATTTGTCATCCAGTTTTGGGCAACAAACTAGTTCTTTTTTCATCAAAAAAGCTACCTGCCTTTGAGAATAGTATTGTCTTATTTTAAATGTTACTTAAATTTAAGGATGTACGGAATTCCTGTACATCCCTAGTAAATACACTCATAAAAAGTTTTTCTATATTATACAGAAGAAGAGTAATAATGAAAGTACGAATAATTTTTTAGTACTGCTATTTTCATGCTCACAGCTGTGAGCATGAAAATAGAAGTACTAAAAAATCTATTCCAATGACAACTTTAGGTGTTTTAGCAAGCTTTTCTGCCATTTGTAAACATTTTTTGGTAGTTTTTATATAACGAATAATTTTTTTAAATAGCTCTCTAATTCTCGCAAATAAATTGTTATTTCTCGTAAAATTTGTTTGATAAAGTGACTGGTTAACTATCAAATAAGTTCTCTTCTAATTATTACTTTTTTTTTTCTTTTTGATTGTAGTTGCACGTGATGTTATGACACCTGATTAATAGTTGGGCTTGTTAATCAGGTGTTTTATGGTTTATCAATGGTTTATTAATGGAGATATTGTTTATATTTGAATTTATTTTAAGCCACTTATTCAATTCCCGACTTGAACCAGTTGCACCACTCTCAATGTAATAACCCTCATCTAATCGTCAATATGTTATTAGGACATTCTTGTTATAATTCCTTTCTGAAAACCCAAGAGCTGTATCAGACGGACAGCATGAGCTAGAAACCAATACAAAACAATTTCAATGTTTTGACCTAAGACACTGATGCTGATATTAATGTTTGTTGAGTCCATTAAAACAATTATGAGAAAAGTAACTCACTTTTTTACAGATGGATAGAAGTCATTCGCCAACCATGAAAAAAAAAATCGCCAGAAAACTACTCTTTAATGAATCTGCCATAATACAGGAGAATGGATCTGCCATAACACAGGCGAATGGGTACAAAAGATCTAAATTAAAACGAGGCTCTACTCCCGGAAATATACCAAGAAGATTTGGTAATTTCCATCTCCGGATGCACAGTCAAGAACGGTTATTTGCGAATAGCCCAAAATATTCGTCTTCTTTTGCAGGTTTTTAGATCGAACTTCAGAAACTCTCCATAATCTTATATTGCAATTTATTTTTTTCGAAACATGTTTAAGATAAATTAGCTTAAGTTACATTAAAATATTTCCACAAAGTTGTCATTTACGAACGTAATTTTGTCAACCCTCATGATAATGACACATCTAAATCAATGAAAACTTATGAATACATTTTTTTGATGTAAGTTGCAAAAGCAAATTGGAACACACAAAGACTTTTTTGTACCCAATCTTTACGAGTGTATGTGACATTAACAGTAAAAATATATTTTTAAATTTTTCAGATTTTTTTTGCCTGCTATGTTGTCTCCTTTTTCTTTATTAAATGAAACGCTATTTTTATAGCTGCATATCTTTAAAAACATATCAGCATGAATAATAATTATAATAATTTTTATCCTAAGATAATGGTTACTGCTGGTAAAAATGGCGCAACTTGATGCGTTTACTAGTATCATCAAGTTCAGAGAAAAACTGAATTTCTTAAAGTCCGTTTCCTCTTAAATAAGCTATATACTTCTTTTTGTATGATAATCCAATATATATGTAAAATAAAATATATCAATTATAACTACTTTAAACTTTGAGAATTCTAGGTACTTATTCAACTCCGTGAAACTCTAATTTTATCCAAAAAAGGTTTTGAGATATTAATTTTTTTTATTTAAAAGGTCCTGGAGTCTGGCTAGATGCAGAAAGTTGTGCACAGAGTAGCAGACAATATAGGGAAGTTGTAGAAGAGGTACTGTGATATTCTAAGTTAGAAATATTTTAGCCAGTCTTAACAAGTCAGTTAATAACAGGCTAAACACACCACAATACAACAAGGTTTCATTTTTATTTTAATTAAAAAGTCCCATTTTAACGATGCTATAAAATATTTAAATGGTTTGTATAAATAAAAATAGAAATGTAAATATAATACCAACCATAATTTTAAAATAAAAATAACAACTAATTTTAGCTTTAATTAAAGAAACCTTTTATGTAGGAATTTAACGAAAACAAAAATATTATACTTTTTTATTATGTTTGTGACCGTTTGAAAAACAAAGCTTTTTGATTAAAGACGATAAAAAAATTTGAATGTTTAAAACAGAAAAATATTATGGGTGTACCCGCTAAATAAATAACTACAGTACTCTTGAAACTTATTGAAATGATAACATTTATAATCATATAAGTCATGTATGCATGATTCTTATGACGGATGATTCTAAAACTTAATCCAATCATAGTGCATAGATATAAATGCAGAATTTAACAAACAACACCGTTTTGTAAATTAAGTGCATAAAGGTTTTGTAATATATTTAGCTCTAAAATTAGAAACTTTAATTAAAAAAAATTTTTTTTTTACATAATAATATGAAATGTTATTTGTAATAATGCAAGGAATAACTATAAGTAACATTTAAGATGACAGTAATGTCAGCTGACAACACTTCTCGATGTTAAAGCAAAGCATTAGCAATACCATTGTCTTTCATTAAGTCGCTAAAACTTGATACTTGATTCTTTTTAACATCTTTTTTTAAAAAAGGTGAAAATGTATAGTCGCCTTTAAAAGTAAAATCTTTCATTTCCGTTAATGCTGATTTTTCGTGACTTGCATTTGAAATAAAACTTACGTTAGACAAAGTGTCATTATCTTCCTTAAAAAATTCCTTTTGAGCAACGTCAGATTTGCTGTTTTCAATTGAGATTTGTTGTTCAGTTTTATTCTTTTCGTTATTTAGCTCAGAGTTTTCTTTGTTGTATAGGTTTTTTTTATTTTCAATTACTTTCTTAAAATTATCAAAATAAAGAATTTTTTCTTCAGCAAAACGTTTTTCGATTTTCATTTTTTCACCGTATTCCTTATAGCTCTTCATCAAATTTCTGCATTGACTTAAACTTTTTAACAAATTGTTAATTTCTACTGATAGTTTTTCTTTTTCTATCTTATGTTTTGAAAGTTCAACATGCATTTCTTGGACCTCGGCTTCTAATGCTATTGTTGATCCAATCATTAGTTTTGATTTTTCACGTTGTACTTCAGTTAGATTTTTGAAGTAATCAAGAGAATTTCTTGCTTCTTCATAACTTAAATTTAGCGATTGATTTTCTTCTTTTAATTTATCATTTATCGTTTCCAATTTAAAAATTTGGCTTTGATAGTTCGAATTATCGTCACTTAATGTTGTTAAACGCGTTTGTAACTCAATGATAATTTTCTCATTTTCAACATTTTTTTCACACATTGCCAAAAGCTCTTCTCTTCTTGAACGTTCACTATTCTCCGCTTGATTTACCTTTGATAAAAGCTGCAGTTTCATATCGCTTTCTTCATTATTCATTTTCTGCAACTCTTGAATTTTACCTTGAAGAGTAGCTACTTCGTCTCGAGAATGACTTAACTTGGTACCGTACTTAGTTATTTTGCGTTCAGCTTTTTCAAGTCGACTTTCCAACTCTTGTACTCTACCTAATTGTTAATATAAATAAATATACAAACAACAAGTCAAAAACTACAACAACAACAAAATAAAAAAGTAAAAAACAGATTGCTTACTCCCCTTAAACAGATTTAAGAATTTTCATAAGGCTTCATAAGAATTTTCATAAGGCATATTTCTTAAACTATAAATATTTTATTCGAAATTTTCTTCGAAAAGGTATTATACTATGAGGTATGTTTTGAGCTTTAGAAACTTTTTCAATTGTTTTCAAAGTTAATTTGAAAGTTATTCTCAAAACAAAATATTAAAACAAAATAATTTTTGTTGCAAAACTCTTGCAATAAACAACAATATTCTTGCAAAATGTATAAATAGAAAAATACGTTATCATTACTTAATTGGAATAAAACTATTTCATAAAAGAATTAACACCATTTCTTGTAAACAAAATTTGTTTAAAAAAAAAATAAAACTTTAGAAAACATGAATGTTGAAACAAACAGAAGCTATTAGAAGGTTGTTTCTTAAGAGATTTTAAAACAGTATTTCAAACGATTTCATTTGGTGAATTATGTTTGAAATTAAGTTTTTTAAAAAATTTTATCTCAAATTGAGAAGACTTTCTAACTTAAAATTTAATTTGAGTTGTATAATAGCAACAATAAATAAAGATGTTTTTTCCTTATATTCTTTTGTTTCCATTTTGACGATAGACCCAAACTGGTCATTACAATGATGATTAAACTAAAAATGTTGCTAAGCAACAAACTATACAAAACAGGTTTTTAAAAATAAATATCTGTTTTTATAAAAACTTACTTATTGCAACTGCAGTATGTTTTTCTGCATCGGATACTTTTTGATTAGCTATTTTCAATTCGTAAACCAATTCATTTTGTTTACAATCGTTTGCACGTTTGTTGATTTCTAGTGTAGATATAGTTTTGTACATTTCAAAAACTTCTTTTTGAAATTCGTTACGTTGATGCATAGCTACTTTAAAAATGTTTTGTAATTCTAGCATTTTTAATTTTTCAGAGCGAGAATCTCTTTGTTCGTTATCGTCAATAAGTTCATTTGTCATTTCTTTAAAAATGTTTTTTAAAGCTGCATTGGAACTTTGCTGAAACATGCTGTCAATAGCTCCACCTACATTATTTTTAGCAAGGTTTAATTTAGTTGTTAAATCGTTTCTTTCTTCCTGTTTTAGATTTAAGAGATGAGTAGAATTAATAACGTAATTCTTAAATTGCTTGAAATTTTGTCCAAATACACGAGGTTTTCTTTTCATTGCAAAATGTTTGCTATTTAGAAAAGACGCTTGTCTAGGTACAGAAGGCTTTCGAATATTTTTTTTTAAAGAAACATTTTCCACAAACTTATCAAAATCAGTTGAACCTAAAGAAACAAAATTTTCTTCAAGATTCTTTGAATCTTGAATTTGGAAAGGGTTATTACTTTTTGAGTGAGCTGATCTTGAACTATTTAAACTTTCAGTTTCAATAAGTTTGTAAATGTTTTCGGATGATTCTTCTGCTGCTTCGCTATGCTTTGCCTCAATCTCTGAATCCAATTCGTCATATTTGTTTAAAAAAACGATTTTTTTCATTCTTTATAAAATCTACATAAACCTTAGCAGTTAGTTTTAATACCTTTAAACTCTTTTATGTTTTGGATGGTTATGAGTAATGGTTATTATGTTTTGGATGGTTATGAGTAATGGTTATTAAATAATAATATAATAGTTTTAAGATTTGAATAGTTATAAAATATTTAAAAATACAAAACAGTCATAAATTAATAAAATTTCTTATCATTAAATATCTCCACTAAATATTTTACGAATAAACCTTTGATTTTTGTGTGCATTTTAATTGAGTTTTAAATCAAATTGAGTCAGATTTGAAACTCCATTCGATTTTTTAAAATTTAGTGTAACATCGTTTTAAACTTTTCTTAATTACCTCAAAAATTAACTTATATAAGTTTTTTATAATTTTGAAAATAATTGTGAATTATTATACGTTCGCAATTTATATCTCATTCAACATGTGTCTTTTCAATTATCTGAGAAATTAGTTGTTAAAATTTCAAATTTTTTACAATTTCTCATGTTTTAACTCTTGAAACAAGTGCGATTCAATTTAATGAAGAGACGTGATGAAGTGCGATTCTTGATGAAGAGACGTGATGAAGTGCGATTCTTGATGAAGAGACGTGATGAAGTGCGATTCTTGATGAAGAGACGTGATGAAGTGCGATTCTTGATGAAGAGACGTGATGAAGTGCGATTCTTGATGAAGAGACGTGATGAAGTGCGATTCTTGATGAAGAGACGTGATGAAGTGCGATTCTTGATGAAGAGACGTGATGAAGTGCGATTCTTGATGAAGAGACGTGATGAAGTGCGATTCTTGGCAATTTAATGAAGAGACATTAGTTAATGAATTTAAAAGTTGCTATTAAAGAAGTATTCAATGGAAACCAAAATTATGTATTTTAGTAAAAGGGATTATGATTCAATATAATACACATAATATAGAAAATTGAAACTAAAATTGAAATAAAAATGACATTAAAAAATTTCTCTTTTGTTAATTTTTTTTTTGATTTTTTGTCTAAAGCATGTCAAAATTTTAATGTTAAGTTCTCTGTTTACATAACATAAGAATTTTACAAATTCCACTACATAATATAAAATTTAACAAAATAAGTAAAACAGATAGGGGCTCAAAGAAGATGAGGACGACAGAACGTCATCGCAATCTTTTCATAGAACCCCTTTAACAAGATTTAATTAAAATATCGTAATACGACATACAAAATAAAAATTTTAATAAAATATTATAACAAAATGCGTAATCCGCTAATAAAATTTGTCAAGCAACAAACAAAAGTAGAAACAAAACAAAAACGTATTTAAGAGAATTTATCCAAAGCATTATTAACAAAAAATGTTTCACAGGTTTTGAAGATTTCTTTTTTTGTTAAAAACTTGAATGAACTTAACGAACTCACCGTACCTTTGAACCCTTTTTGAAAAATATTCCATACTTTTGGACCTCGATATAAAATGCTGTATTCTGAATATTTATTTATTATCCTAGGCAGTTTATATGTGTTCAACATATTCGCTCTAAGATTATAGTTATCATCAAGGGATTAGCGCGTTCCCGCCTATTTTTAAAGTAAATGATTCTACAGGCATGTTTCTGAAAACTATAAAGTTTCAATATAAAATAGTTAATAACTATTTTATTTCTGAAATGTAATAATTTAAAATGTTTTGTTTCTAAGAATTGCTATAAAAAAAGCTGGTGAAAATCAGCATGATTTGATTCGATGATTTTGACACCATGCATGGTGTAAGTCAAAATCTTAACTTGAAATCTTGAAGTCAAAAAATTGAGCAAAGCCAATGTTTATGATTACAAAGCATTATTAAATTTGAGACTGGTATAAGGTGGTGGTGTAAGCTGTAAGTTTATGTAAAGAAACTGGATACTGTTTTGTTTTTTTTATTATGTAGGATTTTCTCTACAGTAAATCTATAAAACCTTAAAAAATCTCAAATTGAAGAAACGTTGAATTACACCATTCTGTTTCTTATTGCTTCATTTAATAGTTTTATTTTTAAAATGTAATAGTTTTGAAAATGAAAACTAATCTTGCTCATCCAAAACTTTTAAAGCTAGTCAAAGTGTTTTTTTAAGCTTCACCAGAATCCAGTTTATTGGTTTTGCAATTCAATTAGCAAACATAACGTCATTATTCATGAAAAGTTTGGCCAATAAAAGGGTTTTATAAATAGTTTAGGCGAAAGTCGGGTAGCCCCGGAAACTTGAGAAAAAAATAGATTTTATACATGTACTAACAGAAAACAAAGTGTCAAAAACTTTTTTTAAAGTATAAACATTTATCTATCGAATTAGAAACAAAAAAAAAAGAATTGTTTACCTTAATAATACACAAAACATAAAAGAAAAAATGTTATAAAAAAGGCACGTATCAAAACTGGAGGATAGCCCCAGACATTTAGTTTAACCATGGATTTACACCTTTTTAACCTATGTGACACAAGTATAGTATATAATTAGTTAGCATTGGATTGTTCTCAGCACATTTAAAAAAAATTGTCTTTAAAAATTACCTTTTTAGGTGAGTTTCCACTCATCCGTTTTTTCACGGGAACGGGATAGGAAAGGAAAAAATAATCACGTGAGCATGTGTAGTTTTCCATCAGACATATTAAAACTTATACTACGCATGCCCGCGTGATTATTTTTCCCGTCTCTTTCCCGTTCCCGTGAAAAAAACGGATGAGTGGAAACTCACCTTTATATATAAGGAACGGGAATGAAAATGTCATCATTTAAAAATATAAACATAAGCTTTTTACTAATGAAAATAAACACTTTAAAAACACTTTTTTCAAATCTTAAGTCTTATTGGAATTAAATGAATTACTATTTTGGGTTTGTGTATTTTATTAAATGTATTACTACTTATATAAAATAGTTGTTAATTTTTAATATGTAAATGCATTAAGTTGTCCGGAACGACCCACTAAACATGTGTCCGATACCAGCCAATCATACTTATTCAAATTTTCAAAACTAGTGAATTAAAGTATTAAACAAATTTTTTTTTTTAAATAATGTAAATAAAAATGTATCTTTAATCAGTAAAAAGTAACATAAAGGTTAAGTATATTAATATGTGAATCAAATATTGATTATACACCGCTCTTCTGGTGGTGGGAGACAATATCTTGCACTCCCAGCCACTCGCTTCGGCATATTATAACAGATATTTTGCATATGCCATATTTTCACTCAAATAATCTTTTTATAGTATATAAAACTACACAGATTGTTTAGTTTAAACTGAACATCAAGTGTCCGGAGTTACCCGCCGTCTGGGGCTACCCGACTTTCCCCTACATTAAAGAGTCAAGCATAATAACCTCATAGAATTTTGGAATGATGTAAAGTGTAAACAATAATTTACAGCATCTTCATTAAAAGCAAATTTAGATCAAAAAAATTTAAATAAAAATTTATTATATAGCGATTGTGAAAAAATTATTGGCTTCACTTTTTGTTCACGAACTCTTATTTGATCTATAACACTTTCAATTTAACTCACTTCCAATTTAACTCATCTATTTATAAGATATTAAGTTTAAGAGATATTAAAACAGGCATTAGAATATCTGCTTACTCAAATGGCTTTTTTTAAATCTATAAATCTATACTTTTTGTCAAAACTAGGCACGATTTTAATATTATCATTATCTCTGGTTATAATTAATACCAAAGTACGAGGATAATAAAGACATTTTCAGAATGAGTTCGTTTTTTAAATTTGGATAACTGGTTCCCAATTTATGTTGGGCTCAATAACGTTTATTTTGCGTCATGGTTTGTTGATTTTCCCATAAGGATTTATGGCACCAAATTTAGATTTTTGAAAAACAACAGTTTTGAAAAAACTATCGTTTTTTATGTTTAAAAGTTGTATGACGTCAATAAACACATTCATGGGTAATTTTTAGTGTATTTCTTTCTAAAGATCTGGTTTAATAAGGGGTCGTCCACAAATTATGTCATACAATTTTTGACCATTTTTGACCCCTCCCCCTCTTGTCACAACATTGTAACTATTTAGTAACAAGTTCCGTATGAGTCGTCACAAAATCACTAACCCCTCCTCAACCCCCTCCTCCTTCTAAAGCGTGACGTAATTTATGGACAACCCCTAATCTGGTTTGATAATCTAGTTTGATGATCTGGTTTAATGATCTGGTTTGATGATCTAAACAATTCAAGTTACTACTTTATAAATATTATTACTGTATTTTATAATTTATAACGTGTTATAACGTAAAGCAAAGTATAGATTTTAAAAAACAATTTTAGTTATCCAAAGATATTGTTGGCTTAACTTAAGAATAGCCACAAATAGTCATAAAGACTAATCCAAAGTAGCGTCTATAATTGACCAACATTTTTGCGTACCAAAGTACTACTCATGCACTGAGTTGGCGGTTTTGAGTTGGCCGGAACATAAAAAGTTAAACCAGCAAGAGTAGTGATAAACATTTTGCAAACAATATTACAAATTATTAACAAATAGTTTAAAGTATTTACCCAACAAATCACAAGTTAAATTATATTTATGAGCTTTTTTGCTTAAATTAAAATTTAAAATAAAACATTTTAGAACAATTATTTTTACACTTTTCTTTTAAAGTTTAAATAGAAACCATTTACTCTCATTTCATCAATTTAATTGTGACTTTTAAATTATTTACGGACTAAATAGAAACCATCTATTTCAAAATGATAGATTAAGAATTAATTATGGCTTCTTAATCATCGAAGAGTATATAAAAACCATCTACTTCGAATGCTTTATTTCTTATTCATTGAAGAGTATAAGGATTAACATATTCATATCAACAACAAGATTATGTGGTTTCAAAAAACTGACATTTAAAACAACACTAGTAGTATATATTTTTAATAATTATTATTTTTTTATAAAGTTATTCATCAACAACGTTTTCTTAGTATTTAAGTACATTGAAACCATCGATATCGTTATAAAAATACATGTCGTCTAAAAATAGCACAAATATGTTAATTATGGCATCGTGTAAATAAAATGCGTCTTGATTCAAAATTTTAATATATTTAAAAACTCATCAAAATATTTTTTGAATACATTTGTAGGTCAATGGATATATTTTCTAAAAGAAATAAATATGGAAAACGTAACAAAAAAGGCTGTTGTAGGATCAGAAGAAGATTGGATAGAAATGCAAAACAATACGTTTACAAATTGGGTAAATGCAAATCTTAAACAACGTGGTATGTCTGTGGAAAGCATTGCTTTTGGCTTTGAAGATGGAGTAAAACTAGTGAATTTATATGAAATTGTAGCAAAGAGAAGTCTTGGTAAATATGCAAAGAACCCAAAGTTTCCTAACCAGAAGCTTGAAAATGTTTCTTTAGTGCTTAAAGCTATGCAGCAGGATGGAGTGAAACTTGTAAGTATTGGTAAGAGATTTTTTAAGTTTTTATGTTGAGTGTGTAGTAGGATGCAAATTGCGAATGTAGTAGAATGTAAATTCTTTGTTGCGTGTGTTAGTAGGATGTAAGTGTTTTGTTGTGTGTGTAGAAGAATGTAATTTTTGTTGTTGTTGCGTGTGTAAGTTTTTTGTTGCGTGTGTTAGTAGGATGCAAATGTTTTGCTGTGTGTGTAGAAGAATGTAATTTTTGTTGTTGTTGCGTGTGTAGCAGAATGTAAGTTTTTTTGTTGCGTGTGAGAATATAAGTTTTATAAAGTAATTCGATAAAGAAGAAAAGAATAAAAAAGAAACATGTATGATTTTATAAATGTATAATATTAATTTTTTGTTCAGACAGCGACCACGTGGTTAATTGTAATTTTAAAATGATCTTGGGTTTAATATGGCAGCTAATCCTTAGGTATCAAATCAGCGGTACAGAAGATAAAAGCATAAAAATTGCATTAAAAAAACTTCTTTTAGTATGGCTTCAGCATGTCATTCCAGAACAAAATATTACCAACTTAACTAATGATTGGAATAATGGAATAGCTTTATGTAATCTAATAAATGTTTTACATCCTGGATCATTCCCAGAGTACAACAACTTGCGCCAAGAAGATGCTTTTTCAAATGCATGTAGAGGTAATTGAATGATTTGTTTTTAAATCGCCAAAAAATAAAATACAATCAGTAATCTGACATTTTTGCTTATTATTTTTCTTTAGGAATGAAATTAGCTGAAGATATGTTTAATATTCCACAAATTATAAGTGCGGAAAACATGATAAACAAAAATGTCGACGAGTTAAGCATGATAACTTACTTGTCTTATTTCACAAAAGATAATGGTATTGGAGTACTATGGACTTTAAATCTAGTCAATAAGTGGAACAGTAGTATAGGTGTAAAAAACTTTAACAAAGATTGGAATGACGGCAGTGCGATCAGTATGTTTTTGATTTGTTAACAACAATAACTCTATATATTGCTCTCAACTTCCACTGGCGTAGCTATATAATTGGAATCCGCAGGGAAAAATCTTATGTTAAGTGTTTTTAAAAATCTGCAGAAATAAATGAGGTTTATTAAAAAGCTTTAAATGTCTGGTGTTCGTTAAATATGTCAAATTTAAATATGTCAAATTTCAACTATATAGTTACGCCACAGTTTACTTCTTTTTTAACTTAAGTTTTACTTTTTTTTTTTTAGGAAACTTAATAAACACATTCCAGCCAAATCTGGTTCCAGAACCTATTTCAAATGATAACGAGGAAAACTGTAAAACCGCTATGGCAATAGCAGAAAAAGTATTTTTAATACCACAAATTATATCTCCATCTGAAATGGCAAACCCTAAAATTCCAGAGCTAGCTATTATGGCTTATGTCGTACAGTTTACAAAGGTAAAACTTGTGTATAGAAATTCTTAATGCCGTACAATTGACAAAGGTAAAACTAGATTTTAGAATCTCTTAATAGCGTTTATTTTAATGGCCGTTATTTTTTTAAATTTATTCCCACATTTTTAAAAAGAATTCTTAAAAAATTAAAAAAGTACAAATCTAGTCAATTATTGTTCTTAACATTATGATAATGCAATGGATATCTTTTAAAAGAGAATATTTAAAAATACATAACCTCTAATTTTAAATCGAATGCACAACTTAGTGGTAAAAAAAGTTATAATGCGTAGCCAGCAAACGTTTGACATCTGCCTTATTCTGGACCCTTGAAATTTAATGGATTTTCTAGGAATGTGTAAAAATATTTAGTTCAAGGCCAGCCAGAATTTCAACATCAAGGCATGGAAGGCAAGGATATAAGTTTTTGTAATTACCAATTGTAAATTTATAAATTCATGAACACTTTATTTCATTATAAAATTTTGATTTTACATATAGTTTTTAAAATTTTCATTTATGACATGCCATTAGGCGTTCAATTAATGCAATGGTTGAAATAGCGTTCACATTAATGAAATTAAAAAGTCACGCCATAAACGTAATGGTGCAATAAACTGACGCACTATGCATCAGAGAAATGGCATAACAAGTAATTTAAAATATAAATTACTTTTTAAAAATCTTTTTTTTTCGAACACTTAAATATATAAGTGTTATTAGCGTATTAGGAAAAAAGTTTTATTAAACAGTTAATTATAACAGTTAATTATAACAGATAATTTCATTTTGTTCAATAACAGAATAAGTGAAATTCCACTAATTTCGCGACATTTATACTTAGGTTTTATAATACTGTTAAGGAAAAAAATATTTTTAGTAAAACTGTTGAAGGTATCTATTAATATCTAATAAAAGAAAAATTTGATTAAACAATGGAAATAAAAAAAAAATTATTTGTATATACAATAGCACAAATAAAAACAGCTAAAACTTGATTTTTTTTAATGACTTTTGCTTTTTAAAGTTGAATTAAAAAAAAATTCTACAAAATTCTGTAGTGTAACAGCAAATATATTTTACTCCTTACACTAATTAAAAAGTAACAAAAATCCAACTGTACAAAGTTGCACAATTTTGTTTAATTCACATTTAAAAAATATATATATTTCAAATATGGCACTTTTAGAATTGCGAAAATTTTAAACTTAGCTTTTAAACTTTTGTCCATATTAAAAAAAAAATGTTTTGCAAAAAATTGAGATAATTGGAGTCTGAGAACATAAAAAAACTTAAAATATTATCTCAAAATGTTTACTGCATCTATCCCAAATGAGGGGGCAATGAGTTAATAAAATATTTCTTTAAATCTTTAACTAAATTCATATTTATTAACAGGTTTTAAATTCTATTTAATAATCTTTTAGCGTTCAAAAAACATGTAATTTTTTCAACCCCCTCATTTTAGTAAAATGGACACCTTATATCAGGGCTATCTTAGGAAAAAAATATGGGCGGCGGTACCCCTTCGTCTCGGAGAAATTTAGCAGAAATATTGCCGAGTATTTGCGGAAAAAACAATATTTGCCGTAAAAAACGAAAAAAAAAAAAAGTCTTTGATTTTTAATTTGGGCGGCGCCCAAACCGGCGCACTATGCGTTGCTCTTATACAAAATGAGGAAATAGGCATATAAATAAAGAAGGACTTAAAATATTTAACTTTTTTTATCCATTTTGTTTTTTTTGCAAAAGAGGTACATATCAGATGTCATAAACAAATAATTAGCTGTATCCCTAGTGTTTTCTGCAAAAGAGGTTAAACGAGCATGACCAATTCGAGCAGTTTTGTTTTCCTTATTTCTGGCTTCAATAGCACTCTCAGACAAAGAACCTATCGGATACTTAAAATACCTTATAAAAGAAGTACCATGAACTATCACTCTATGCACAGATTGTGACATAGGTATGGTTTTTAAAAATTTATCATTAGTTATGAGTGCAAATAGATGTTCAGATTTCTGTTTGAAAACCTTTATATCCGGTCTTGTAGTTGTTCTGTTTATATCAATGAGTAAATCTCAAAACAACTTAATCATTCTGATATCCAAGTTTAAAATTCTCCCTGTCACAATCGGGTTATTAAAAAATTTGCGAGCAACATTTCCAGTATTGGTTGTTCCACATCCTTTCCTGACAAAAGAAACCCTTATATTCAGTTGTATTGAATAAAAGCTGGAATTTTTTTTTGTTTTCAATAAATTCTTTACTCTTTTGTGATGGAATATTTCTTCCTTGCTTAACAGCTGGGAGTTTACAAGCAGTATTGAAAATCCACTCCATACAGCGCATCCACAGATGAAGACTGCAAATTCCAAGTTTCAAAACATGCTTGTTTAAATTAATATTTTTTTTCCAAATAGTTTTCAAGTTAAACTCCTTAGAATTTGCAAGGCATACATGGCAGGGCTGAGATGAAATTTTTTTTTTAAGCATATTTGATACAACAGCGTTTAGTGTTTTGCCATCATTCATTGTGGTATAAATAGTTGACAAACTAGACTTTACTACAAAAGTACTTTCATCAAGTTTAAATTCAATATTCTTCAATAAAAAAATTTCATTTTTCAAATGTTCAAATTTTTCCTGAATAAAACTAGCAGTCTCTTTTGCAAAACAAAAAAGATGATGGGTTGCATCTGGACTATTTGGAATTAAATTTTTCCATATTATTTTTTCTCCACTTCGGATCTCCAGTAGTACAAACACTATACTATACACAGAGCGATCATCTACACCTCTTTTCATAGTTGCTGAATTTTGAAACTCAGATTGATCACTTTGACCATCACCTCCTACTTTGCAAATAATTTGTACATTATCACGCTCTTCTTGTGATAAACTCATTATGCAGTTACTTTCATAATCCAAAAGATATTCAAACACTCTAGAAACTGAATGCTTTATCATATGGAAAATACTACATTTTACTTCGGTTTCAGAATATTCAATATTGTATTGCGTCAACTTGGTTAAACCTGGAGGAACAAGATGACGATATAAAAATAGAGTGACTCATAAGAGTCACTATATTTTTAAATTCAGCCCTTGTTCTATCTGTAAGTTTCAAATTAAAAAGAGCTTGCAATGACAAATTTGAACCATATAAAATAGCCCTATCATCAATATAAGAATTAGATTTAAACCTTTTGACAGCATGTTGCAGTTCTTCCACCTCTCGTTCTCTAAGACTATCTGTTCTTTTACGCTTCATCCTGTTTGTAAGCTTAATAAAAGACTTTCTAGGTTTTGGTGTACAAGATATATTGACTGCAGATGATTTAGGTACTCTACATGGTACACTATAAATAATAAAAAAATACATTGAAACATATATACATTTTGAAGGTTTTGTGAAACATAGTCAAACAATATGTATGTGTGTGTGCAAAATAAAAAGAGGGAGATACATTTATCTATGCATACCTGTTTACATTGGATCCATGAGTACGAAGCAGTAATTCCCCTTCTTTTATTTTACGCTCACCCTGCTTGATGAGTTGATTACCATGTTTAATCAGATTTTCACCTTTTCTAATTAATAGCAGTTCTTTCTCATGTGTTCTAATCTCTTTTTCAGAATCTTTTTCTTATCTACACGCACAAGTATAATATATATATATATATATATATATATATATATATATATATATATATATATATATATATATATATATATATATATATATATATATATATATATATATATATATATGTATATATATATATGTATATATATATATATATGTGTATATATATATATATATATATATATGTGTGTGTATGTATATATATATATATATATATATATATATATATATTTATATATATATATATATATATATATACATATATATATATATATATATATATATATATATATATATATATATATATATATATATATATATATATATATATATATATATATATATATATATATATATATATATATATATATATATATATATATATATATATATATACTATAATGCAATATTTATTACTTATTTATAATAAATCAATATAGAATATATTATACTCACAAGAGATATTTGCATTGTTGATTTTGATCCAAAAAATGTTTATATTTAGTAAGAAAGAACTTTTTTTTTTTTCGACACTCATTAAATTTTTTTATTAAATTAAAAGCCAGACTTTTAAAATGTTGAAATTCACAGCGCAATCAGCATAAAGTGATAAAAACTTGGACTGCAAAAATTTAGCACATTCAGATACATTTTTACTCGTGAAAATATGCCTTGAGGAAAATTATCAGCCAGAAGTTTGCTAAGATTAAAAGTAACCATTTTTAAAAAACTCTAAATCACGATGAGAGCCAAACTTAGGTTATAACTTAAAGACTAGAAAAGAATGTTCCGCTCGCATCCAGTTTCTTCTTGAACTAACCGGTTTTTAATAAATCCACCTCTTTTGAATTGATTTTATAGCATGTTACTACAGAGGTAGCCAGAATATTATTTCACTTATAAAAAGTCAATTTGTTTGAGAAAATTTTAAAAAAATAAAAAACTGGCTACCTCTGTAGTAACATGGTCTAATCGATCAATCTTTACAGACACCAAAAAACAATGATCCAAACATTTTTTTTTTTCTTTTCTTGGTTTTTAATTTACGAAATGTATTATTTATTAAAAAATGTGCAAAAAAAAATGAAGAAATTTGAAAATTATCTTATGTAATTTAAAGATTTAGTGAAAACATGGGTTTTTTTACCCCTGAAAATCCCGCACCTAAAAAGGCAAATTTAAAAAAATTTAAAAAAACTTTTTTTTATTAACTAATACTAACCTGTTTCAGTTAAAAAATATTTAAAATATTAAAATTGAAATTTTTTTTCTGAAAAGTAAGTAAAATCCTATTTCCGCTTCGCGACGCATAGTGCGGCGCCTAAATACGGTCGACGCTGTCGAAAACGGTCTAGAATAGTTCCTATATATGGTCTTTTTTTTATAGTTATTAAGGTGCTCCAATCAGTCTTATCAAAGAGCACCGCTGAGAAACATTTAATCAAGGAGTTGACTCTAAATTTCTTACCAATGTCGTCTATTTGGCTAGAGCCGGCGTTTAACCACGAACCTATTGGTTCTAAGCCAGAACTCTAACCAGTGCGCCCAGGCTGCTTTATCTTTCTTTTAAAAACTTTCAAAGACTAAAAAATTATTGAACAAAATTTAAAACTTGTTATTGAATTTAAGTTTATTTATTTCTGAGTAAAACTAATTTTTTTTTATATCATCGCTCTCACATTTGGGGTAAGTTTGAAGAACATTTTTGATATTTCTGTTCCCAGGCTCCAATTTTTTGTGAAACATTCTCATTTGTCATGAGTATGAATATTTTTAAGTTTGGAGTTTGCACAAAGTCTCAAAATATCATATCTAAAACATGAAAGAATCCTTCCCACTCACTCCACACACCCCGGGCCTGTGATCTGTTGGTCATTTAGTCAAATTTGATTTTTCAACTTAAATATTGATATTCTTGACCCCCAAAACTTTAAATTTTATGTACAATATTTTATCATTATATATATAAATAGCTTTTGACACTTTTCTAAGGTATTTTTTCTTAGTGTAAAGCTGCAAAAAATATGTCATATATTTCTTACAATGTTTGGAATAATCTTTTTATTTAACATTAACCTTTGTAGTTTTTTTTTTTTACATGAACTTTTTTTTTCTTTATGTGTCTTGTTAGAATATCATATTTCTGCATGTAGTTTTATTTTTTGATAAAGTTGTATAAATTTTGGTCTTGAACTACGAAATTTATAAAAACTTAAACCTTTTACATATTTTCTATTTTACAGTAAAGAGAGTGTTACGTTTAATATTCCTATGTTACCACTATCCATGTAAAGATATATTCTACCACATTCTCAAATTCAAAATATTCATTCAAAATTTTTAAAAATTTTGAGACATTTTTTTAGATTCATGTTCATAATTATGTGAAAAATCAAAATTATGTAAAAGAATTCCAAAATCGATAAGAAGAAATATGATAACCTAACGTTATTTTTAAAAATTGTTAAGAAGAAATATGATAACCTAACGTTATTTTTAAAAAGTACTTAAATTTGAAAAAAAGTTACCTCAAAATGTCTTATCTTAAATTCAGGTAAAACCAATTATAATTCCGTCAACAAAATTTTCTTTATCGGGTGCTGGGATTGTTGAGCCAAAAGTTGGTGCTATAAACGAATTTTATATTCGTTGCAGTGATGACACTTTGGAAATGGATGAATTAGAGGTGGAGATTATTGGACCAAATTTAGTTCCTATCAATTTTAAATATGATATTAATAATCCTCTTTTAAGGACGTATAAATACAATGCAGAAGAACAAGGAATCTACCGAATATCTGTTATGTATCTAGGAAATCATGTACCTCAAAGCCCTGTCATCACAATTGCGAAGCAAGATCTAGAGATAATTAAAGTGCGCGGAGAAGGATTATCAGGTCAGTTGATTCAAATATATGATATAAAATATAAATATATGAGTTATTATAATTGCATTTTCTTATTGTAAAAAAGATTCACCCCAAACAATTATAAAAAACAATCCATTCAGACCTGAATTCTTATGAAACTCACCATTCCACATAAAATAACAACAAAACAAAGTTTTGTTAGCTGTTCTTTTCAGATAAGGTTTAGTTGAGTTTTTGTAAGTTTTTGTATTTTTATTTAATTGAATACAAAATATTAAGGTTTATAAAGTTTATTAAGGTTTATTAAGGTTTATTAAGTATTTTAGTTTCTTTTATTGCTATTGATAGGTATAATTTTAAAATATTAAAGAATAACTTGTCTTTGCCTATTAATTCAGCACTAGTTTCTTCTTTTAATTTTTTTAACCTAATACGGTTTTCATTCAAAACAGGTTCTATTCGTTTTACCAGGTTGTTTGAAATTCTATAAAAAAGGTGGGCCGATAGTTGATACAACGACTTTCATCGAATAAGATTTAATATATATATATATATATATATATATATATATATATATATATATATATATATATATATATATATATATATATATATATACTATATATATATATATATATATATATATATATATATATATATATATATATATATATATATATATATATATATATATATATATATATATATATATATATATATATATATATATATATATATATATATATATATTAGTTAGGAGAAGGTTAACCTATGATCCCATAATCTAATGCCAAAAGTCAATAAAATTTGTGAGCTAGACTGTGTCGGCGCTTTAAATATTAAACTGATAAGAACAGATAATTTTTTTTAATCCTGTAACTAGTCTATGACCTTAGAAGGCGGGTTTTATTTTACACTTTTCATTTTTACTTTTTTTATTGTTTTTATTTACATTTTTTATATTTTTATTTATTTGTAGTTTGAATAGATATAAATAAAAACAAATAAAAACTGATAAATATAGTCAGCAGAAGTTAAAAAGTAACTCAATTTAATTTTAAAAAAGTTAAAAAGTAACTCTAGTTAATTCTTAATACCAGTGACAACAGATTTTTTTTTCTAATTTAATTTTCTTTTAATATATTTTTTTTTGTATATTTATTTTTGTATACTTGTTTTGGGTTTTTATGTGATTATAGACGAAAAACGATAGGCAAAAATGTTGAAAAAAGCAGTTTGAAATCATCAGCTATAACTGTTTTTAAAAGCAACAACCAAAAGTCAAGGTTTAGACCTTAAGTCAGTCGTCAAATGTATACCGTTTAGAAAAGTTAGTTGTCAAATTTAGACAGTCGGCAATATCAAATAACGAGGACTGTTTTTTTTAGTATGCTAAATTTGTATTGGCACCTCTCCTCCCACGTGACTGGCCCACGTGACACGGCCACGAGCGCCGGCCCTGCCAGTAGTTGTTTAAATTTATCAATTGGTGTTGCCTCGATAACATTATCTGGTAAAGCACTCTAGTCATTGACTACGCGGTGGTTGAAAAGTTTATGTGTGACTTTGCATTTCCTTAGAATCTTGCGATGAAATCTAATTTGATGTTGAGCTCTGGGTGCTATGCTGCATCTAGAGCTCAACACCAAAATCAGGCTTTATTTGCCCGTCAATTAAGTTTATATTTTTGAGAAGTTTATACTATTAATAATATCTCCCAAGAATATAAAAGTTTTTAGGAGAACTATAAACAGAACTGTTTTTAAATAAATATTAACTAAAAATAACTCTAAATTACCATACAACAGTCAACTAGGAACTTATTCTATTAAATTGCCAAATCTAATGTTAACTTTAATGAAATAAATAGCAATTCAGTCAACAGGGAACCTATTTTGTTGACTAAATAGTCTAAGTTATTAGTAGTTACTTTGTAAACATGAATTTTGATAATCTAGATGTTGAGTCAGTGTTGCATACCTACGCAATAGATTTTTCTGTAATAAGGCACTGCTTAAAAATGATTAAAGAAGCCTTTATGCAAGAGATGATTAAAGAAGCCTTTGTTAACTTGTTATTTTTCATCTTGGTGGAAACGTAAATATTTTTCGATTCCATCAACCTAACGCTTGTCATGAGGTACATTTTTTGAAAAACGGACTTTACATTAAAAATTACAAAAGTTGTTAAAATTATTAAAAATGAGGAATAAAAAGAATGTTTTTTTACCATCACTTTTGATAAAAGCTCACAATCATCAAGGAAACCCAAGAATGATCTTTCTTTCAAAGCTAGTGATAAAATGAAAGAGTAATTTGATGATCAGTTAGGGCAAGACTATAAAATAATACTCTTGATAACTAATGAAGTCAATAAAACAAGACTCTTGGTAACTAACGATGACCATAAAACAACACACTTAGTAACTTGGTAACGTAACAACACTCTTGGTAACTAACTTCTCTGCTTGTTGTGTTAACGATTAAAGATGATGACGTAAAAGACGAACAGATAAAAATGATTGACTTAACTTAATCCTACTTAAATTGTTTTCCAATCCATCCTTCAAAATTTTTTAAAACCACTCTTTTTTCTAAATTGTTTACCATTCACAAAAAAATTGAAAGCAAAAATGAAAAAATTGAAAGCAAAAGTTCAACTCACAAGAGCTTATATTTTATAACTGTTTTCCAATACATCTAATTTTATAAAAAGCTTTTAAAATTTCTAATACATTTAGCGGACGTAACTGAAACCAGCAACGTTAGAATTATGATTGTTGTAAGCCTTTTCTTAGTCATTTTTAATATTTTGTACAGTCACATAATTTTTGAGTATAATAAAGTATTAATGGTTGAACTAATTTAAAAGGAGGTTTTAATGAAATGTTTGTTAGTTGTAGTTCTAACAAACATTTCATTAAAACCTCCTTTTAATTAGATATTTTTAGGATATTAATAATTTTTATGAGGATTGTTTTGAATCTGAAAGTGAGATTTGTTTCATCATAGACTATGTTGAAACAAATCTCACTTTCACAAAAACTATGACATAGTTTTTACAAGAGCCTGATTGATATCTTTTACAGATTTGCTTTAAAAAATAATGTTTTTTGCAGGGTTTTTTAGAATACTAATATTTAGAATAATCTAATAAAGAAAATATTAAACAAAAAAAATCATTTTAAAATGATTTTTTTTCAATTTAAAAAAAAGTTCATTTTGCTTTGTTCAATGCATTGAGATAAATGGTTGCGGTAGGAAGTGATTAATGACGTGAATGAAATTTGGTTGATTTAACTAGAGATGATTTAGCTTGTTTTAGCACCAACCATGATTTTTTTATTTGTAGAAAATCAGAAGAGATACAACCTTAAGATAATGAGAAAATGGCTCAAGCTGGGTAGAGTAAAAAGAGTGAAAAGGTTGTTATTTGACAATATAAGAATCTCAGCAATATAGTTGTTTGTTGTAAATAACTGAGTTTTTTGGAGCTAAAATGCACAAGCCACTGAAACCTCAAGCTGGTACAGAAGAGAGATCATATTATGCATTGGATCTTTGTTCTTAGCAAAAAGCAAGAAGCCGATTCTTTGCTGCAGACAGGACCTTTTTATATTGACTGCTTGCAATAATAAAGATATTTGTTCTGAAGAATGATGTTCTTGTAAAAGAGATGTAAAAAATGCACAAGAAGGTGAAAAATGTGGAGTAGAATCAGGCTTGACTTTTAACCAATGAGAAGGAATAAAAGATTCCTGCTTGAATCCTGGAGGTAAGGTAATAGGCATTTATATATACATAATATAGATATATATGGATGTATCCATATTATGTATGTATGATAAATATATATGTTTTCTGTTTTTTTAGATTCTGGCATACAATACCTTTACAAATTTATAGTATTTACATGGTATAGTGTTTGCCGAAAATGACGATGATGATCAGATGGGTGTGTGGTATGATTGCAACAAGACCAGAAAAGGAGCCAAAATCTTTAACAGAAATTAGAAAAATGAAAGAGGTCAGCATCAGGTCAGCAAAAAATATTTGATACAAAGGTCTTATCATAACAAATTAAATGAGGTTGCCAAATTTTTGCCGACCTCAAATGCTTTGAGGTCACCAGTTAGGTCAGCATAGCTATATGCTGATTTTAAATTCAAGGGCTGCATATTGCTAATGTGACAGGCTAATGAATATTAAAAATAAATTTTTGGGTTACTGATTTGATAGCAAACCTCATCTGCAGATGAAATATTTCAAAAATGTCAATAATAAATGCTTTTTATGTTGACAAAAAAAAAAGAACTGTTTTTTCATACTTTTATTACAAATTTAGCCTTTGTTTAATTTAGTTTGTTTTGAGATGAAACTTGATATATCCTACAGAGAAAATAAACAAGTGATTCATTAAAAGAGTCACGAGTCCATGCTTCATTTATAAATATATAACAGTGATGTATTGAAAATATATTTTTTACTAGAATAGAAATTTCAAATAATCAGATTGTATATAAAGTAGTATCTTGATAAGAAATCACATTTGGTGTTTGGTGTTACATCAGGACAAACAACTGCATAAAAAGTTAAAATAAACATAAAAAAGGTTTAATGTGTAGAAAAATCATGACCATCATCATTAAGAGCTATTGTTGTTGAAGGTGTGAATTTACAATAAGGTTGTGAAGATATTTTTATTATTTATATTGAAAGAATATAATATTATATTGTTACATATAATAACATAATTATTTTAAAATTTTTCATATAGTAACATATTATAGTATTTAAAAATTTATTTGTAGCATTACCTTAGTTTGAGTAGTCTGACAAATAATTTTTAAGGAAAATTACAATTTTATTTTGTGCTAATGTTTACAAAAAATCACAGCAGTAACAAAAACTGGGCCCTCTCTGTTGCCCTCTGTATATGAGGGAAATTAGTTTTTGAAAAAAAAAACTTTTTTTTTTTTTTCCATATTTAGATTTCTTGTTCAGTATAAAATTCATTTTACAGGCATATCTAAATCTAAATATTTAAAATATAAATATAAAAGATATAAGATATAAATACTAAATTCCTAATAAAAATGTGGAGATACGTAGAAAACAACTAGATCTTGTATATAATCATATAAGATAAAATCATACATGGGCTTGGCAAAATATAAATATCAGTTATCAAATATTAATATAATTTTTTTTTATTATTATTTAAATGTTTTAAGAAATGATTAAAGTCAAATATTCAAAAATATGTCATCAATTGTAAATATGATTTCTTTTAATTTTCTTTTAAAGGAGTATTAACTACATTTACAAGTTATTTTGAAATGCAAGATTTGCCAATATTTAATTTAAATTTTGATTGTCGTATAAAATTGTTTTGTAATGTATATATTTTTTTGTTTTATATGAATTAAAAACACCAAAAATACTAGACATGGAGTTAGTTTTACAAAGTACATAAAAAATAATAATATCATTAATATTAAGAATGTTCATGCTAAATATTAACTTAATATTTTTGGGGGCTATGCATAGGTAAAGTTATCTTTGAAATTAATGACATGCTCCACACCTGTTGAAAATCTAGAGGCTGTAACTTACTTTTGTTGGTTATTTGTGTGGTTATTAATTTGTTGTGGTTGTATTTTTTCCCAATGGTTATTTGTGTGGTTATTATTTTGTTGTGGTTATATTTTTGTCCCAATGGCAACATTGCCATAATTAATATGATAGTGAATCGAAGAGTAATACAGTTGAATTAAGGTCTCATTATAATACTTCTTGGTTTATAGAGAATTTCAACATTTTTTGCAATTTTATTGCATAAGTTACAAATATTTACCATATTCATAGTGACACCTAAAAAAATTGTATACAAACGTCTTTTTATATGAATGTTATCAATGATAAAAACAAGCATTTAACACAATATTTATGTTTTTTGAATCGGATGAAAGAGAATCCATTTAGTTTTTTAGATGTTTAGCAAAAGTTTCTTTGATTTAAACCAGTCAGAAACTTCAATATTCATATCATGAAATAATTTGGTGATGTTGTGAAATAGAAATAGATTAGTATCATCAGCAAGCATTTTTTTAAATTTAGAGGGCTGAAAATCATTAATATAAGTAAGAAATAATAGTAATCCATGTATGGTCCCTTTGTATTCCTAAAATTTCGGAAGACGAAGATGCATCAACTTTAACAAGTTATTATTTAAATTCATCTTAAATATCATGAAAAATCATGAAAATAGACTTTAGTAAGAGAAATCTAATAAACAAATTTATCTTATTATTATTTATTAGTATAATCTAATTGTTTATAAAAAACAATATTTCCCCAATTATATACTTTTTTTGATTAGGAGGTCATCTACATTCTCCAGTCATATTTATTGTTGATGTTGGAGCAGCTAATTCCCAGGTTGAAGTTAATATTGAAGGGCCAGATGGAAAACTTGTTAAAAATATTGTTAAAAACAATAAAGATGGCACTTACACTGTCAAGTATACCCCACTGGTTGAAGGAATTCACCTCATTGATTTAACTGTTAACAGACAAAAATTACCTGGTGGACCAATTAAAACCATGATTACTGATCTTGGATCAGTGACAGTCACAGCAAAACAGTATGAAATAGGTAAAAAAACATTTTTTTAAAAATATTTTTCAAAGAAACTATATATGAATGACAAATTAATATTAAATATAAACAAGAAGTCTAAAAAATAAAAGACAAATATTAAAAATAGACAAATTATATGTTAAAATTTTGAATGAGGCTACCTTATTGTGGTTGTGACCACAATAAGGTAGCCTCCTTAACTGTAGTGACCTTCTCAACTATGGGAGGTAAATAACATAAAAGATAAAAAAATCGCAATTTATAAAAATATTTGAATAAAAATTGTGATAATGTATTTTTAAATAATGATTCAAATATTAGTAAATCTATTCTGATAGCTGTTTTGTTGGTTATAATAGTTAATAATAATAGTTAATAGTAGTAGTTAGTAATGATTTAATTTAACAATAATTAATTTAGTTAATAGTTATAATGTTAATTGTTATAATGTTAATGTTGGTTATAATAGCTCATAAAATTATAAAATATCTTTAAAAAATCCCAATAAAACCCAAATTGCTAGGGCTTTTTGGTTTTTTTTAAGCGAGTTTTATTGGGCAGGTTTTTTGCTAAAAAAAAATTTTGATACAATTTTTAAGGTTTTACAATTTTTACATTTATACCCATTTTTTGAGCTTTAAAAGTACCTTTAAAAAAAAAAAGGAACCTTTAACCTTTAAAAGTAAATGTTGATTTTTTATTGTATGTATTCTATAAAGATTATGAGGAGGAAATTTTTAAAAGTCCAACTTTCAAAAGTTTCAAAAGCTGCTTTCAAAAAGTCCAAGTAAATTGGTTTTGAGAAATCCACAAAAACCTATACTTCTTATATGCACACAACAACAGACATTGGTATTTTCTCTTCACAACAGCAGACATTGATATTTTCTCCATCTATCATTAGGACCAAGAATTTATTTTCAGATCTAATATGTTATAGATTTGAATATGTAAAATTTGGAAATGGAATAAACTCAAAATTTTTATTTTTGCAGCTTTTTGCATTTTTTGAAAATGCATTCGTCATATCATTTTAAAAAGAAATGCTAACTTGTTACTTGTTTAGTTTTAGAATATTTAAACAATTTTTTATTACATCAGCCACATTGTATTTATTGGATCTGTCACTGATTGTATTTCCAATATTTTTTTATGTTTTTTTATTCTTAATTTTACAATATTTTTGATTTAATTTTCGATTAGATTTTCATATACTTTCAAACATTTTAGGAGATCGTGGTGCCTTATTTTACAATTTTTTTTTTTTTGAATCTTAAGTAAATGGGATAGTTTAAATAAAATAGTGGCATAAATAGAAAAATAAAGAGTTTACAGCCAAGAAAAAAACAACAACATTGTTAAGGTCCAAAATAATAAATTACTTAAGAAAAACTTTTTTATTTAAAATAATTTGTAAAATTTGTGTTACTCAACAAATTTATTTCTTGTTCTTGGTGAAAAAACAAATATCTATTTTTGCCACACTGCCTTGTTTGAGTTTTTTCTAACTCTCTGAATCGGTTTTTGTTTTGATTGTCCCCACACATAAGTTGTTGAATACATATTTTTGGCAATTTAATGAAAATTTTGAATTGGTTGATAAAACCCCAGAAATATGAAGCACATTTCAGCCAAGGTTTATCATCATGCAAACTCAATTTTAATAAATATAAAATAAAATAAGCCATGACTTACCAATCAAATGTGACAAACTGTTTCTTCTGGTTTCAGATCTTTTAGAAGATTAGGATTTTCTGGCTTTTAGACTATCTTGAAAGATACATACAGCACAGAGAAAACTAAAACCATTTGCATTAACCACACAGTATAAAAACCAGAAATAAATTCTCACATTAAATTGATTTCATTTTGTAAACCAGTCATCAGCTAGCTATGCATCTAGAGGTAGCTATGCATCTAAGAGCTAAACACCTCTTAAAAAACATAATTAGCAAGAGCATATTTCCAAAATTAAATAGTTTCTTCACTCTGTGGAAAAAAAACATTTCGTAAACATTGATTTATCCACTTTGCAAACATTACTTTATCCATGATGTTCTTTGTTGCATTTTATTTACTTGGAGTTTTTTTATTAATTAGATTTTTAGAAGTATAAGTTTTACTAGTGTGGACCTGTTTTCAAAAAAGTTTGCAGTGAAGCTCTCCTCAACATACAACCTGTAAAAATCCTGTGTTTGACAAAACGTAATGTTTTTACTGGAATGTTTTCTAGTATTAGTTGTGTTAAAGCACAGACAATATAGATGCATAAGACACAAATTCTTAACTTATCTAAAGTTTACTGAAGTGATAAGAACTTATCTACAATGATCCTATAACATAAGTTCTTAACTTATATACTAATGTATCATGATAAGATTTTCCAGTACCATATTTTATTAGTGGAATGCCAAAATATTTTAAATTGCTATTGATATTTATTAGAACAGCAAAACTCTTCTTTTTTTTTTTTGTATCTTTAGTAATATTCTGCCAAATCTTTCCATCAAGATGTTTTCCATCAAGATGTGCAGTTATTTATTTTGACAAACAGTTTTTTTAAATTTTCATATAACTTTCTTTGTGTTTGCTACTTTCTTTTTATCACATTTAATGGCAAATTTTATTATCAATGCTGCTAATACACTAGTACTTTATATAACAGAATCAATAGAATATATATATATATATATATATATATATATATATATATATATATATATATATACATATATATATATATATATATATATATATATATATATATATATATATATATATATATTATATATATATATTCTATTGATTCTGTTATATAAAGTACGAGTGTATTAGCAGCATTGATAATAAAATATATATTGTATATATGTTTATGTATATGTATATATATATATATATATATATATATATATATAATATATATATATATATATATATATATATATATATATATATATATATATATATATATATATATATATATATATATATATATAATATATATATATATATATATATATATATATATATATATATATATATATATATATAAAATATATATATATATATATATATATATATATATATATATATATATATATATATATATATATATATGTATGTATGTATAATGTATAATATATATTTATATATTTAAATCTTAAAAAATTGTGTGCTTGATAATAAACTGTGTCATTAAAAAAATTTTAGAAATTAAAAAAAAAAAATTAAAATTAGTTCATACTTTTTATTAAATTTGAATAAAGAAGACAACTCAAAATGTTTAACTTAAATTCTAAATATTATGTCTGTTGTGCAATTTTATATTCAAATAATGGGTACTTCAAATTGAAATTTTTTTCATCATTTGAAATTGATGAAAAAAATTCAAATGATGAAAAAATTCATCATTTAAATTTTTTTCATCAATTTGAAATTGAAAACTTAGTTCTGTTATCAATTTTAATTCATTTCTTATACCATTTTTTATATTACTATTCCTCTTATATATTACTGTTCCTCACTTGAGGAACAGTGTCAGATGAAAGTGTGTAATTTCACTTTTAGAAAAACTCTCCATGTTGGGTTTAAATCTTGAAAATAGTATTGTGTGCTTGATGACGAGCAACACTTACTTCCAAAAATATATAGCTAGTATATATATATATATATATATATATATATATATATATATATATATATATATATATATATATATATATATATATATATATATATATATATATATATATATATATATATATATATATATATATATATATATATATATAACATCAGCATCAAAAAAATTACATAACTATTACAGATTATTCAGGTATACTCATGGTATTCAACTGTTATTTCAGTTTTATTAGCCAGCATCAATTTGTATACTTTGCTTATGGTATTCAACTGGCTGTTATTTCAGTTTTATTTAATACACTAGCATCAATTTGTATGCAGAGACAATTAGTAGACGAAATTGATGACGCTATGCAAAGTTTAGAAAATGAATCCAAATTTAGTGAGTAATTGGGGCATTGATAAATAAAGTTAGAAAAATCATGATGGTTTTTATAAGGTCACCAGCTAAAAAAGACAAGTTTCTTTAAAAATACATAAAAAATTATTTAGAAAAAAGCTTTTAAAAAAAGATGGAGCAACTTTCCTATCAATGCTTGAAAAGTTTCATTAAAAAATTACAAAAAAAAACCTTTATTGAAACTGATATCAACAATAATGATTTGATAAAAATGGCAGAATGTGATTATGAAATTATTTTTGAACTTGTTAATGTGCCAATTCCAGTAAAGGCTATGGGCTTTGTCGATATGATCCAAATCTTATAAATGCTGACACTGTGTTGGTGTTTATTCTAACTAAATTAAAAGAACTAAAACTACAATAAGTACAATATTTCAATGCATTAGCCTCCAGAATAAAATAGCAAAGGACTGAATTAAGTAGTTTTAGACATTATGGAGAAAACAAATTAAATTTTTCTGGTTTTTGAAAACCCTACCCTAATGAGTTCAAAATAAAACAAAAATTTTATTGCTAAATTGGAAAATTATTTCAGAAATTTAGATTTTGTAAAATCTAAATTTCTTTCTGGCAACTCTGAATTTTGAATTTGAACTCTGAAATTGAATTTCTTTGTGGCAACTCTGGCATTCATTCATTCCATTTTTTTATTATTCCACTTAATTACATTTCAAAAAGTTAGGATAAGGAATTTAAAAATTTTGATGTTTTTTATTAGACACCATTTCATAAAAAATAAATCGAATTAATCATATAAATATAAAATATCAAATTATAGACCAATCTAGCTTCCAACCTTTAATATTGTAAAATCTATGGAAAATATCAAAAAAAAATAATAATAAATAAATAAATCGCCTGATTAAGTCAAAAGGAAATATTACAAATTTACTTAAAACTACATGTTTTGTTATAGCTGCTTTTAAAGAAAATGTGGCTAGATATAAATTTCTTAAATTTTGTAAAATTGT